CTTGTAACCACCACCAGCCTTTGTTCTTGATGTTTGAACATCTGGAGAGGGTAGTAGAAAATTCATTACACGCTACTTCATTCAGTTTTATCTTAGTAAGTACACACCCACACTATAATGTTGAACCATGGCATAATATTAGCTATCTCAAGATTAAAACTAAGAATACAGGAGACGAAAAGACAGATGTAGAGACTGATGCCGACTTGTTTGAGGGTTTACATGTCAAGTGTGAATGAACGGAAACTGAACCTGACAGAGAGAAAACAGATCCTGCCTAAGGAATCTGAACTCTAGTTCTCCTATAGGAGGATTAATCTTTAGGTTACCTACATACACCACAATCTAAATTAAAAAGTCGTAATTAAGCGATAAAAAGTCGCCTAATCGGGTGAAAAGTTGGATGGCGACCGATTAGGCGGCAAAAAATCGCTTAATATAAATCGCTTATTTTAAAAAAATCGCTTTGTTTTTAACAAAAAAATCGCTTATATTGCAGAAGAAGTTGGTGAGCGCCAAATAAGCGACACAAAATCGTTTATTTTCAACAAAAAATCGATTATTTTTAACACAAAAAACGCTTGTTTTTAACGAAATCGCTTATTTAATCGTTACATTAAACATAACGAGTTGTTTTCATTGGGTATTAAAAATATGGAAAAACTAAGTAAATCATCCATCCATTTGGTCTATTCAAAAGAACGAATTAAGATTTGAACACTAAAACGGATCGGAACTAATATAGAGGTCCAAAATTTATACAAAGAATAGATTCTATAGCAAAAAGTAATTCAATCTGCAAAACATGCTCAAATTAGTAAGTAACGTTAAGAACAAATGCTTTATCAATATATATTAGCAATGTCAACATTAAAAGATAGTTTTTCCCCTCTCTGAGGGCTGGGAGTATATGGAAATACGACTTTTTGGGTTTTCGTTGTCATCTTTTTAGGGATAAATGAAGAACTTACGTAGTTTTAGATCGATGAGTGAAAGCAAGAAGTGTGGGAGTGAATTCTACAGGTGCGAATGAGTGACGGATATCTGGGATTAAAGTGGATTATGACACTATCATTATCAAATCAGATTCTACTCGACTTTCCAGAGTTTCATTCGAGTAAGCAATTTTTGAAAAAAAACGAATTATACTTTCAGTGAGAAATTTTTCTAACCTTTTATTCTGACTATCTTTTAAAAAGATCCTATACATTGTTTTGATTAAAACCCCCCTTAAAATGAAACCCTGGACTTCCATTCATAATAAACTGGTATCTTTGAATCAAGAATACTCTGCTGCTAATCCTTTCCACCTGCAACAAACCCTATTCTCCAACCTTAACTACAGTTCTATCAAGGAACTCGTCATACTTGAAAAATAAATTCTACCCCGGATTTATGCAATTATTTTTATAAATTTTTTAAAACCTAAGAATCTGCCAAATTTTTCTCTTGAAGATCTTCTAGGAGTCTTTATAAATTCCCGCTAATTGTTCATGATAATGCAGAGTTGAACCAAGAAAAATCTACGTTTTTTGCTTAAATTCCGTTTATTGTTGGTAGGATATGGATAGAATGCTCTACTTGCCACTCCTCAAAGTAAACTAGACAAAAACTATACAATGAACCTGACTCCATTATATGATAAGGAGTAACCTGTAATTTATGTCACAAAATCATGCCGGTTAACATTCTTAATTTATCTTAACCGTTTTACTTCATCGAGATTATTTCAAAAAATATAATCTAAACTTCTTTTCTATTTTGAAGGATGTATCCTTTACTGACTTACATTATTTTTGTATTTCGCCTTTCCGTCTCCCATTCATTTCACATAACATTCTTCCATGTATTCTACCTAACCTTCTCCTCAGAGTTTCATCTTAATTTTTCCTTGTATTCTACCTTGTATTCTACCTTGTATTCTACCTTGTATTTCACCTAATCTTCCCTCTTGTATTCCACTTAACCTTTTCCTTTTCCTAACCTTCTCCCTTGAATTCCAGTTTACCTTTTCCGTTTTATATCACCCAACCTTCAGACTTGTATTCCACCTTACCTTTTCCATTTTATATAACATAACCTTCTCCCTTGTATTCCACCTTACCTTTTCCATTTTATATGACATAACCTTCTTCCTCGAATTCCACTTTATCTTTTCCATTTTATATCACCCAACCTTCTTCCTCGAAATCCACTTTATCTTTTCCATTTTATATCACCTAGCCTTCACCCTTGTATTCCACCTTACCTTTTCCATTTTATATAACATAACCTTCTCCCTTGTATTCCACCTTACCTTTTCCGATTTATTTAATCTACTTTTCTCAACTAAATTTCATTAACAAATATTTCATTAGAATTCATCCAACCTAATCTAACCTTCAAAAAGTTCCATCTATAATATTATTTCCTTTTTTATTCCACCTAACCAACCATATCTTAGGAATTCCTCCCCTGCTTCTCTCAGGAAATCCTCCCAACCTTCTCCCCTGTATTCCATCCCAAATCTTTCCCCTGTAATGTTCCAAACCTTCGCCTCTTATCCTACAAATCTGACTTTGTCCTGAAATATTAATAGATTAGATCAGATTGATTTAATCAATGAATATTTGCAGTATTAGCATAACACTGTGTAACTACTCCATGAATCTCAGGATTTGTGGAAATGTTATTAGACCCCAGATGTCCAGATCTAAAGATGAGTTATGTCAGTTTGTCATATGTTGGACAATAACTGTTGATAATTTGTACAAATCCAACCTTACGTCCACTCAGATGGAGATAAATATTGAGTCGAGCGCATCTGCTCCTCTGTCTAATTGTGTGGATGATTTCATCTCGAGGTGCCAAAATATTTTCATCTAAAAGAATTATTATTCTCTGAATGAAGAATGGCGGTGGAATCATGGTTCCTAAATAATCTAAAATGCTGTCCATCTGTTAGTTAAGGGCAGAGAAATGTTTTGAATGTATAAAACAAGGTTTGGTTTCCTCCCAGAGGATTAAAATATAAACCATTCTATAGTTTGATATATCACTATTAATTGATCAATAAAATGTTTACATTATTTTAGGGTGGGGTGGATTGTTAGAGGATAGGAGGGGAATTATTATTATTTGCTTCAAGTTAGGGAGGAAAGGTTAACTCGGAAGGTATATTGAAAAAGTTTAAGTTCGGATTAAAAATCATTTAATCTCAGCTTATATGGAAACTGGTTAAGCTATGAACGGGTTGCTTAAGGTTAAGATGGTTTGATTGATAAGATCATATCTGATGATGTGATTGGGATGTTAGCAGATGGGACTGCCTAGTCCATATGTCTAGATCCCCTAATTACAGGCCAGACCCTCCCCCTCCCTCTCCCCAACCCAAACGCTGAGAGTGTCCAGCTAATATTTTGATACGGCCATATGGCCACTTTATAATAATTCCCAAGTTTCCCACTGTACTCTCTAGTATTTCGGGAGCATACTGGAGCATTTTATTTAGTCACACCACTCCACCCCCCCCCCCACACACAACCCCAAAGGAAATGAGTTTTTGTCACAAACTCAAATTTTCTTATCCCTATATTTTTGCAACCTGGTGTTGTAAACCTCTGATATTTCAAACTTAGATTACTTTATCTATCAGAAATCATGGTTTGAAATATCTAAGGTTTACGACATAAGGTTGCAAAGATATACGATTATAAAATTATAATTTCTTTCTCCTTAAAACATCATCTCGAATGTACCTAGATTTACTACTACGATCAGATTTATAAGTTAATTTTCCTTCTAGATGACGAGAGGAAGAACTCCTGAGAGACAAACTTGGGGGTGGGGGGGGGGAGGGTCCGAACAGACAGTTTCTGGAATAGGTAATTTCCGGAATTATCTAAACTTTTCGAATAAAATTTACTGATCTTTATAAATTCGCAGTAAGATCAAGATTTATCTTAATTAATGTAAAACAGTCCTGTAAAACATTTTTCTGAATTTGTCCACAGCAATTTGTCTTTTCCGGAGTTTGTCACTCCGAAGGTTGTCTTGGTTCTTTTAGAGTTCTAATATTTTCATTTTTATCTATTCCTTCTATTCTTGTGTCCTAATAAATTAATGTGTATTTGTACAATATATTGTTCTAAGAGTTAGACTATAGTTTAATGCATCTTACTTCTTTAAAAGCATAATTACCCCAAATCTCTTCAAATAATTTATCAGAAATGTTTCCAGTAAGAAAAGTATCAAAACTTTTGGGGCATACCAAAACCGAACGTTCGAAATATACCGTGCTGATAGTTAACTGATTTAAATTATAATTTAACTGGTTCTGGTGTATGTACTAATTGACATTGCGATTTTATTAATTAAAGTATCTGACGTTATCAAATGAGAGGAGATCGGAGGGCAAACGAAATATTTAAGGGGTTCTTAAATTGAGCTTCCTAAAACCCTCAAATTTAAAGTCTATAATTGGATAGTTTTTATCTCCGTCCTGACTGAACAAGGAGAAGAGACGGGGCCCCAGCAACGGATTCTGGGATGATTATAATGGTTCATTACACACAGATTCTTATCAACTCTGGACGGGATGAAAGAGAATATTAAAGAACATTTTAATATTTCTTAAAAGGTTTTGAGCGGTTTTACAAGCCTCCAGTCTTGGGTATTAAACCGAGAAGTTAAAAAAAAAGTTCGGAGTATCGAGTCGGAGAAAAATTGGCAACTCTTGCTCCGAAAAAAAATTTAAAATAATTCTTAAAATTGGAAACTTCAAGAGTAATATCTTCTCTTAAACATCACAGCTTTCTTTCAAAACATTCTCCACATTTTTCACATCTTACAATTCAAACATTTTAAAATTCCTGTCAGCAATCCATAAGGTTTTCTAGCTCCGCCCTGCATACCAAACACCGAACCTTGATTGGTCCAGAAAACTGTTCCGTGGCGGAAGCGCGGTTTCTGAAGCCGCGCTCCCGGCTTATGCCGCGCTCTTCGTCTCTCGCCGCCATCCCGCTTCTTCTGGGTGATTTGTAGTATGAGTCTAAGGATTGAAATACAGGGAGAATCAGGGGTGCCCGGAGTATAGTTACTTTTCCATCCTCACAGCTGACCTTCCCTTCAACATACAGAGGGAAGGTCAACACGACCTGGTCTCAGTGGTTAAAATATTGTGATAGATTGATTGTGTGATTATGAAGATGAAACGGAATCCAATAGAAAGTCTTCCGGACAATCTCAGGATGTCCGGGATTCCAGAATCTTTAAAAAGAGGTGAGAGTAAGTTCTGTCTATACATATTTTTCCATGTCCATTTGAATTTTTAAAAAATTAAATAATTCATTTCCACTGTATCAACAAAATATTTTTCTTCGTTTTTGTTTTAATTTAATTTCTATCAAGTAGTACTCAGATTGATTTACTTCATATTTTTATTTAATTTTACTTTTTTTCGTTTATTTTTGACAAAACCACAAAATTGCAAACATTTTTTGTCCGGTTAGTTCTAATTTTTAAATATTTAATATATTGAATTCAATTGAGATCCGAAAAATGGTGTTTATTATAATAAGAAAATAAAGGCAATTTTTGCTTGTTTTTGTATTGGCCGCTGATACTCGGTATAAAGATGAAGAAAAAAATTATATCAGATATTGATGTTACCACTAACATTTTTAGGCTTCTTTTATTTAACCATAATAATTCTAATTTTTTTTAATTATTTGATCTTGGTAAAGAAATTGAGTCTTTGCCAGAAACTTAAATTTTCTAATCCCTATATCCTTGCAACCCGACATTTGATATTTTATACATAGATTATTTATCTTACAGAATTGATAGTTTTAAATATCTAATATTAGAAAATCAGAGTTATGTGGCAATGATTCAATTTCTTTGAAATGATTTCACGTTGTACAATGCAGAGTAAAATGATTTATATTGTAATCCAGCTTCCTGGCGTATTGAAACTTTTTTGTTTTTACAGAAATTGACAATGCTGTTGTGTTTGTAATTTGAGATGCAGAAACGAAAAAAGAGCCTATAAGCCCCAAAATGCTTTATTTTTTTAAGTTTCGTGATTAAGTCAATTTTAGTGTTTAATTATTACATTGTTTTTCCGCGGATACATTATATTTTTTTTCAATGTATCTTGATATATTTTATTTTTTATATTAATACTATTATTCTTTTCATTCAGTTTGAGAATTTTATTTAATTTGCGCAAAATCAAAAAATAAAGCTTAATCAACCCTTTTTCCTATAGGTCTGCTGTTTCGGCATACGAAAAGAAAAAATAGACAAACTTAAATACAATATAATCCAATGTGCATTTACCTTAATATGTTCCAAAGCCTTAATCTCTTGCTATTTTATCTGAGATCGAAGAAATTATTTAATCATGTATTTAAATGTCATAAAAAGATCTAAATTGTTTACAATTTGAATTATTTATTTTCTGTACTGTTCAATTAATGTTCATACTATACTGTTCCTTGGTTTCCCTGTACTGCTTAATCAAATTGGCTGATTTTTTGTGAAGTAACCCCTGAGTAACCCAGGGGTAACATAGGATAATTATGTAATTTCTTCAAAATTCTAATTTTTATTCTTAAATTCCACAGGCAACGCCGGGAACTTCAGCTAATCGCTTATTTAACATTTAGAATTATAACCATTTGTACAGAATAAAGGAACAGAACACATGTCACAAACTATAATTTTCTAATCTCTATTTCTTTGCAACCTGTTGGTGTAAACCTTTGATTATTGAATTTTGACTATCAAATCATGGCAGAATTCATAGATTTGGAATATCGAAGGTCCATAAATATTAAAAAATTTAAGTTTGAGGTAAATGTCAGAGAACGCTAGCGTCAACAAAAATTTTCTCTACAAATATTAGAATTTTAAAATTTAGGAATTATCAATAATCAAAATATATTGATGGCTTATGGTTTGTAAGGAGTATTCACCTTTATCATTAGCGCCCACTGTTATCTTTAACAGTTTTCAAGTGGACATTTTTTTACTCGTAATAATGCTTGTTTAAATTGGGGCATTTTCAAAAATAATAAATGTCGACATTTTTTTATGTTAGTTGCCACAAACAATTTGGACCCGATCGGTTCAGCCCTTTTGACGTTTATTGAATAGAAACGAACAAACACAAACCAACAAACACCCAGACAAGCCAAATATATTTACAGATTCCATATATGCAATATGCATATCTTTTGTTTCTCCGAATATCTTAAGGTTTTAGGTTTCATAGTGAGTCAAGCTCGAATTAGAGATTTTTAACAAGTATATTCTAACTTACCAGATTTTTAACAAGTATATTCTAACTTACAAGATTGAATGTTTAACAAGTATATTCTAACTTACCAGATTGAATGTTTTCAATCAAGTTTTATTAAAAGCTCTGTATTAAAGTATCTCCTTATTGCAATGAACAAACTTGTACGTGCACTCACGACAAAATCGATCAGGATTTTACATTTTTCAAAATGAATTTAGAAAAAGCCCTTAAAATTTGAAAATGTCTGGGGCTGTGCTACACAAAAGTATAACTGACTAGGTTAACAGCGACACTTCAATGTCGACTTGGTCTAAGAAATATTCTGCATAGTTTATATAGCTGTCTGAATCTTTGTATCATTGCTCATGATTTTAGGTTTAGATGCACTCCCTCCTCTCTGCGTAGGATGCCATTCTCCGATTCATGATCAGTTTATTCTAAGGGTGTCTCCAGATCTATCCTGGCATGCTGCTTGTCTCAAGGTATTTAATTTTTTAAAAATGAAGAAAGAAAATAGATTTTTCCAAAAACTGTGATTTTTTATCCCTTCATTTTTGCAACAAGATGTTGCAGACCTTTGATATTTGAAACCGGCCATGAATTCTGTTAGATCAAATAGTTTAAGATTCAAATATTTGGAAATATCAAAGGTTTACACTATTGATTGCAAAAAACAGGGATTAGAAACTTTATTTTGTTGCAAGAAATCAGTTCTTTTCCACCTTAATGTTGATTAATCTTACTGAACATTTATTTATTTTAGTGCAACGAATGCCAAATGTTCCTGGATGAAACTTGCACTTGTTTCGTCAGAGATGGGAAAACCTACTGTAAAAAGGACTATGTGAGACTGTTTGGTGCCAAATGTGACAAATGTGGCTGTGCCTTCGGAAAGAATGATTATGTGATGCGCGCAAAGAATAGAATTTTCCACTTGGAATGTTTCCGGTGTGTTGCGTGTGAACGTCAACTTATTCCTGGAGACTCCTTTGCCCTGCGAGAAGATGGACTATTCTGTAATCAACATCATAGAGTAGATAAAGAAGACGGGTCAGAGACAAACAACAACAAAACTATTCTTAACAACAATAGTAACAACAGCGAAGATGGAGATGATAAGTCTGAAGAAGGTAGGATCTTTTAAAACTAAAACTTAAAGGGGCTGTCGACGTAATTTTAAGTGAGACTCCATTTAAAGAGTTTAAACCTTTATCTGAGTAAAAAACAGGACGATAAATAAGTTTTTCTAACTTGAAAAACAGTATAATTCCTTCCTTGTAACTGCTGCATAAAACCACAAGTATACAGAGGAAATATAGAAAATAGAGAAAATAATAAAAAAAAATATTTATTTTTGTAAATCGGACATGTAACTCTTTAAATGAAGGATTACTTGAATAAATATTTCTATATTGTTTTTAAATATTGAATAAAATCAGTTCCCAGGCTCTAAATTTATATAAATTTGCATGACATGCAACAGACACCTTTTTTCTGTTTTAAACCACTTGAAGCTGTCATAAATGTTGTTTTCGTGATAGTGAACAGACTTCATGACCTAACATTACTTTAAATGTTTGTTTTTGATCATAAATCAATATTGAAGTTGGCTGGGATCAATTCCTCTGCGCTCAGATTTTTTTGTCTGAAGCTATAGAGCCGCTTTTTCATAAATTTAATTGAGTAATTTATCAATGTAACTATTTAAATAAACAAGTTTTTGCAATCCTGCTTCACTTCTTAATGGATCAGGATAAAATAGTTGATCCCCACAAACATATACAAATACATTTCCTCTCTCCCTCATGTCAATGTTGATTCTTAACAATTTTTTGCAATTTTAATAATAAGAAAAAGAAAGTGCTAAATTTTTTTAATGTTTTATAGAAAATGTCCTTTTTATTTTTCTCTATTTTTCTCGTCCAATTTTAAATACTGTAGATTTTTTTATTTGGTTCTGCTCAACTAAAGTTTAAAATATTAAAATTCTAGGCGATATTTCTGTAAGATTCCTTGCTGGAGCCACTAATGGACATTTTATGTTATGTCAACAATTCTCCGCGGCAAATGCACATAAAGAAAGGAATTTGCCGCGGAGTTGCCTCGCTTTTTGTTTCGATTTCTTCGGACCGGCAACGTGTGACATCGATGACATCTGTCACTCGTTGTTTTTAAATATTTGTGTAAGACAAGTACAAGGCTTCCATGTTTTTTTAGAAACTGGAATAAATCCTGTCAATTGAATTAAAATCAATTGTGTTTTTAGCCATTTATAAAAGAAGAATGATGGGAAGGGGTGGTTATTTCTAGGGGCAGTATTGGGTGAATTTCTGAAAATTTTAAGCATGATAAGAATATCAAAAACGGTTCATGCAACTCGTATACAACTATATATAAACAATTATTATCTATATAGTCTTGTATTCAAGCATGCGTTGACGAGTATAGGTGACATTATTTTTAAAGAGTATTTTATAGGCTATTGGTGGGTTTTGATGGAGTTCAGCCACTTTACATCGATTCTTCCATGATTCAACTCTATTTACTTTAGATTGTGTGTGCAATAGAGGGGTAGGGATAGGGTAGGTTGTGAAGGGTGGATTGTTCATGTTTTGAGAGCGTGTCTGTTCTCAGCTCCAAGGGCTCTGAGTGCACTCTCTGCTCCGATATTTAGACCCTGTGTTTGTTTTCACACGAGCCAGAGTGTTAGTGTAATAAACCCTCCGGTATAAACCTTACTCAACCCACTTACTTTTAACTATTCTTACACGTATTAAACTATATTTGTCATTATCCATTAAGCTAGTGAGCTTGCAACATCATCTATCCAAAACCACGCGCCTGGAAAAAATGTACTCTTCTAACTGTTAACTGGTTTAAGATGTAGTTCTAAGAATAATCAGAACCTAGTACATTTGAATATTTTTTATCTATGAAAACAAGACATTAGCTTTTACTTATTTTTTCCCTTTCCCTTCTACGGTTAAGGGTTAAAACAAATATCTCCAATATTTAATCTCTCTAACCTCTGTACTTGAAGGAGTACTAAAACAAACAAACTTAAACTTGAAACTTCAACTCCTTTTATTTTATTAAAACTCAATTTTCCCAAAAAGGCTGAAAACAAAAAGAATAATCTCACACTTTCACTAATTTGCACTTAAAATCTTTGGCTTGAAAAAATGCCGACATTTATTATTTCTTAAAATCTACCAGTCTAACCAGAAAAATCCGCCAACATTTGTTTTCATTGGAGAACCATGAAAAATTGAAAATTTAAAGGCAACAGTTAACCAGTTAAAGTAATTAAGTTCTTTTCATCCACTATGATCTTATAATCCCTATTTTTTTGCACCCCAATGTCGTACACCTTAATTATTTCGAACTGTAAATTCTGGTTGGATGAAAAAATCTAAGTTGGAAATATCATTGGTTTATAGCATCAGGTGGCAAAGATTATAGAGTGATAGGAAAATTTGAGTTTGTGGCAAAGACTCAATTCCTTTGTTACTAAAAAAGGGGCGCTAATTGTCATAAACGACTAATTTCTGTTATTGCATTATTTGCTTTCATTATGTTCACCATTTTCAAGTGAAGAATTCAAGTTGAATTCCTACCCTGTTGAGTGTTGGTAATGATATGTACTTGACAATATTGAATATTGATTCTAGTTTCTTGGAATTCAAGCCTTGTCATTCTACAATTCTCTGCTCTTTTAATTTTTATCATTTCATTCAAAAGGATTAAAAAATGTTTGGTCATCAATCCATCCCGCCCCGATATTTACATTAATATCATCCCTGGAATGTGTTAAATAACCAAAGGATTGAAAACGGATGAAAACGAACATCTAGAAAATGAGAAATCATCTTTCAAAATATTATTAAATATGGAGAGCGGCATTTTCAATGATTCTATGTTCTTACACATATGATTTGAAGCTTGACTCTAACTTATCTCAATGTAAAAAAAAATACATAACTTTGTCATAATTTCGGCTTAATTTATACTGAGCCTTTTCCAATTTCTTCGTCAGAAAGAGAATCACATCTTCTATATATATATAAAGTTGTAATCTCTGTTTGTCTGTTTGCTTGTTTGTGTGTCTGTGCATAACTCATGAACTCCTTGACCGATTTGCTTCAAATTTTGATTGGGGAACTCGGAAGAACCACGGAAATGTTCTTAGTTTGGTTTCTAAGTTGAGCGGCTCCACTTTTATGGGGAAAAATAGCTAAAATCGTAATTTACGACCAAGCGCGGATAAACGGCGGGAGTAACTATGATTACCCTGGGCAACGCTGGGTTCTCATGCTAAGATATATAATCATGTATAGATATATACATATATAAAGTAGTAATCTTAGTTTCCAGGCAAACCTGGGCTCCTGCGTTAAAAACATTATACAATAGATAGATAGATAGATAGATATATAGATAGATAGATAGATGGATAGATAGATAGATAGATAGATAGATAGATAGATAGATAGATAGTAAATGATAAATGATTTGCAGAATCTCAGCTAAATCCTTGGTTTACTTAAAAGCGAAGAAAATTAGCTCCAAGTCCGACGTAAATTAGAAGCTGGAGATTATGTGAATCATGTTTCCTCAGCCCTCAATTCTTCTGAAAGGGGGGTACCTCAACCATCACTAACTTTTTAGAACCAAAACAGAGTTTATCTTTCAAATGTGAAATAATTCAGCTTTTTTTGACTAATAAAATATTTTAGTTTGTGAAAAATAACATCCTTTTAGCACTTTTACGTCTGCTACTGTTGTACACTGTACAGGATAATTATACACTTTTATGACAATTTGTAAAATTGTAGAATTGCTTAATCATCTAATTTTGGTTTTCGGAGAAAGTGACATTTAACGTCTGAGGTAACAGGCACCGATTGGAATAAACTCAGCCTCGTTTTGATCTGTTATTGAAAATAATTAAAATAAATATTAATTTTGTATTCTTATTATTTTTTAAATATTTAGCCTATCTGAAATTTAAAATATGTCAGGACATCTGTATCGCCGTGTTTTTTGGTGTTCAAAATTAAACTAATAAAATTAACGAGAAAGAATTAATTTATAATAATTATTTATTATTATTTTATTCAATTTTTCTTTTAAGAAATCAATTTGAAGATGAAGTGTGATACTAGCACAAGTTTGCAAGCATTTAATTTCGAATTCTGTGAATAAATAAATAATTAAAGGAATCGAGTTTTGCCACAAACTATAATTTTCCTAATCCCTATCTATAAGAGTCGTAGACCTTGGTATATCAAACTAAGAAGGCTGTTAGATCAAATTATCTAATTATGAAATAGAAAAAAATTACACCCATCAGGTTGGAAAGATATAGGGATTAGAAAAGTAGAGTTTGTAACAAATATACCCATTTCCTTTGCACCCAAATTTCAACTATCCGTCCAATCAGATTTCAGCTTCGTGTTTCCGGATCGATAACCAATACGTACTTTATACATATTAAGATTACCGCTATGCATATAATCAATTTAAGTTTAAGGAATAGAACTTCATTAATACTTCTTGTAAAAGAAAATATGTCAATATTGGCAAATATGACTGAAAGAAAATGTGTCAGGTTGAAGACATCTTTATTTAAACTCTATCCTAAATAGAGAACTTTCAAGAGAAAAATAAACCTTAAATCTATGTTTAATTTTTCAACTGTTGCACACATTTCTTTATTTAAATCCTGGTTGGGTATTTACAACCTTGTGTTGTTGGTACGTATTCCGATTTAGTTGCCGCCAACTTCAACTCCCGGCGGCGGCACCAAACCAAATTTTGCTACCAATACCCTCCTTTCTAAAGTAAGAAAGAAGAAAGAAAGCTACTTATATTTTTGCTGCTTTTGTATGAATTTTTTTATCTTCAGCTAAAGAGGAATTATTCTTTTTAAATAATATATTTTGATGACGCTCCAGTCAATTAAATACAAATTTGTACCCGATCGGTTCAGCCGTTTTGACGTTTATTGGAAAAAGACAGACAAACACACAAGCTATATATATATATATATATATATATATAGAGAGAGAGAGAGAGAGAGAGAGAGAGAGAGAGAGAGAGAGAGAGATTTTAGTTTGTATATTATGCTAAGAATCTACTTCAATGTTTATTTATCTAGTTTGCTCAATAATTCTACCGCAGATAAAGCACAGGTTCAGAGCTACGTAAACAGTTGACAGATTATTTCTATTTAACAAAGATATATCGGATTGAAAAGAATAAAATGAATATTTCTAGGAACTATTGGCGATCTATCCGACGGTGAGTCTTTGTCTGGTCTGGATACCGAAGGGCTACACGACTCCAAGAAGCATAAAAGAAACCTGCGTAAAACTGCTCGGGCCCGTACTGTGCTAAGTGAGAAACAGCTAAACATTTTAAAAACGTGCTACTCAGCAAATCCTCGCCCTGACGCTCTCATGAAGGAACAGCTGGTTGAGATGACCGGACTCAGTCCTAGGGTTATCAGAGTCTGGTTCCAAAACAAGCGCTGTAAGGTGAGCTTTAATTAACCCAACATTAGTTTGTACAGTTTTGGATTTTAATGATCACATGCAATTTGCCAAGACTCGCTCAGTGTACTAACCATTCCATATCAAAGAATAACTCTAAACCAGTTCTTAAATCAGAAATGTTTTTAGGATAAGAAGATTCAAAACCGACTAATAGAGAAGCAACTACAGGGGGAAAAGGTAAGAATAAGACGGTGCGAAAATTAAAGCAAATCTTTCAATTCAATATACAAATATACTTTAAAAGGATTGTAGACGTAATTTCAAGTGGCCTTTCGTGACATGTCCATGGCATGTCCATGACATGTCCATGTCATATCCGATTCACAACGTTAACCTGTAAACCTATGTCTGATTAATATTTTTCTTCCAAATATAAAACTGCGTTGAGAATAAAATATTTGTGTTTATGTGGAGTCATAAAATAAAAAGTTTGGTCATCCAATGTGCATTTCATACATCTTAAAATACATAATATATATTTTGTTATTAGTTAATTCATCTATTCTATAACACCCACCCACCCCCCACCCCCGCCATCGTTTCAGCCACACTTTAGAGATTTATTTAAGCATTGAAAATTGGACAGGGGAGTGTAGGGGGAGCTTGAGAGAGAGGAAGGGACAGGGGGATGTATTTTAGTATAATGGAACGGACATTATAACCTAATATGTTTATTTTACAAGTTTTGATAAAATCTATATATTCACGTGAGCGTGAATATCTATATGAGAAATGATCCCTGTATTTTCATGCTTTTATTCAATCTACATATTCTGTTTTGTTTCAAGGGATTCACTGGATCATATCATTATATTCGGGCAAATGCACAATTCTTTACAAATACAAAAACAGGGACAGTCCGTGATTATTCAATCAATAAATTCTAACCAGTTTTTTTGTGGCAAAATATAACAACGGTATACCGTAGTTTTTCTGAATAATAAAATGTATGCTCAGAATGAGTATTGTTCGAATTTCTCCAGAAGGTATATTTTTTGGTCTTTATTCAATGTGTAAAACTTCATAAGCTTGCAACCAATTTCTTAGTTGCAAGTAAATAAAACTAAATAAACACATAAAACACATAAATAATAATAATCAATAAATAAAACTATTTATATGAGTATAGTATACATTCATTACTAATTCATTGCCCTTATATACACTTAAAGAGAAATTCTCGAGGGAACAAGACGAAAGTGGGGAGGTATGTAGGAGGGGCGGAAGGTAGTGGGGAAATTTGTATTTAAAAGTTTTTGAGTCAGAAGAAAATAATAACGAATGATGATAATTTAGGATGAAACGCAAGAATACATAAAAAGGTTCAGGGTTAGAGAGATTAAAAAATTAAACCATAATTAAATAAGATTTACTAGGTCTAGTGCATGTATGCTCTTGTCACCTAGTTAACTAACTTGTGTTTTTTAATAAAAATATTATTATCTAATCAGCTAATGCATGATAATGTTGTATAAACCTCAGAAACAAACATTATCTATAAACTACTACAACTTCTATTAATAGAGGGGACTCCCCTATCATGTTTACCTAAGGAGGATCCCTCTATGTATACCTCCTAATATTCAGACAAGGAAACATCCACACAAAATCTAAAAGAAATTGAGTTATAACTTTACCTTCAGAAATGTTTGCATTAATGAAAGTAACATACGACTTTTTTGGAAAACAGTGAAGAAACTGTAAGGTTAAGATTAATGTACAGGGAAAGTAAGGAGAACTGGAAAGGGAAATGTATTAAATCCTTAGTTTTTTCCCTTCATTTCCTTCGGTGTGTTTGCTTAAGATAAGATTTTATCTTTATTATTTATTCATTTACATACCGTACAACCTCTCTACATCCTGGTTAAATTTATAAAAAAAAACATGTTCAAGAGAAAAAAATTTGTTTTAGAATTATTGGGGCTTTACGCTGGTCCAGTTTAAAATATTTAAAAAAAAGTCTGATACACCCCTGCTCTTATCTAACCAATACTATCTTTATATACACACACTCTATTCAGGCAACATCTGTAGGATTAATAAAGCAATAAGTCAATACAATGCAGAGTTTTGTTTGTAGAGTAGGTGTGTGCTCCAGTTTACATTGCTTTAAATGGTTCGAAGAATTCAAAATTAGGGCGCTCGGCATATAAATATGTGCTATTGGAATATATGACATGTATGGATATATCAGTTCTAGAGATATTTGAGTTCTAGAGATGTATGAGTATTAGAGATGTATGAGCTCTAGATATATATGATCTCTAGAGATGTACGAGTTCTTGAGATATATGAGTATTGCGTACTTGCATGGATTTATGACTTCTAGAAATATATGAGTACTAAGAACATATGAGGAATACATGGTTTCTAGCTAGAGAGTACTTTTATCGATCTATGACTTCTAGAGAAGTATCATAAGTTATATATAATACTAGCTGAAGGGCCCGGCGTTGCCCGTGGATAAAAGAAATTTGAAAAAACAAATTTTGAAAAAAATGTTTTTAAAAAATACGAATTTTTTTCAACATTTTTTTAGCCTATAACACCCCCGGCCACCCCTGAGTGTCCACAAAAAATTTCAGCCCAATCGGTCCAGCCGTTTGGCCGGCTATACACAACATATATATATATACGAATGTCTAGTTTTATTATATAGATATGAGATCCAGGGATACATGAGTTCTAGAGATATATGATTTCTATAGGTATATAATGAAATCTATATAGAGATACATGAGTTCTAAAACTATATTAGTACTGTAGGGATACATGAGTTCTAAAAATATATTAGTACTGTAGGGATACATGAGTTTTAAAAATATATTAGTACTGTAGGGATACATGAGTTTTAAAAATATATTAGTAATGTAGGGATACATGAGTTCTAAAAATATATTAGTACTGTAGGGATACATGAGTTTTTGAATGGGATGTATGGGTAGTAGAAAACTGTTTCAATGAAAGATATTAGTTCTTGGATTGCACATATAGGTTCTGATGAGATATGAGTGCTAAAAATAATTAAGTATGGATACTACTGGGCGCTAAATTTACCCAAATTAGCTATTTACGAAACAAACGTAGAAGAAAAGTAAATTAAGCTAATTTTTATATATATAAAAAAGAGGAAAGTCTCTCCTTTATGAAGTTTTTACATTGTGTCTGTGTGTGTGTGTATGTGGTGGTGGTGTCTGTGCACCATTGTGTATTCTGTTGGTTGAGTAAAGTGTAACAGTAAACAAAGGATCAAGTTTCAAACATATACAAACTCAACCTTTCTCATCTTTATCCGTCCTTACTTATCCTTATTCCATCACTCTTACCCAATTCTTATTATTTTAGTTTTTCTTCTATTGATATTCCTTTTTATGCTTTTCCGTCCTTTATCTTGCTGCAATCTCTCCTCTACCTTGCTTTTCTCTTTCTTATCTTTCTTCTCTCTTCTTCTTGATTATCTATCCTTTACCGTGCCTCCTCCTTCTTTCCCATTTACTGTACTTCTCTTAATCTTGATTCTGTCTCCTAAATCTTTGTTCTATCTCCTAAATCTCGATCCAATCTCCTTTACCTTGCTTCTCTCTCCTTCAACTTTCTTCTCTCTTCTCCTTTCTTCTTTCTCTTTCTCTTCTCTCTCCTTCATCTTCTTGATTTCTCTCCATCTCCTTGTTTCTTTCTCCTTAATCTTGCTTATCTCTCCTTTACCTTTCTTTTATCTCTCTTATCTCTCATTCTCCTCCGTCCTCCTTTTTAAAAATCATTCAGCACCTTTATAGTGAAGTAAGATAATCTAATCATAAATTTATATTTTACTTAAAATCATAGTATTAGCGTAATAAGTAATTTGACATTGCTTTTACCACAGAGAATTTAATTTTATGACTTAATCCCTGAAAAATCTCAAATTATCTGAGATGAAATTGTCAGTTTGAAGAACTAAACCTCTCTGGGTAAGGTCGGAAAGCTGGGATTTAAACCGCTTAAACTTAAATCTTTATGCCTGCGGCTAAATTGATATATAAGGAGAGGGGAGTAAAAAGGACGGGGGCGGGTAGTTTGTTCAGATTAAGCAAACAGAAACGTTCGAATTGAACAAAATAAAAAATGTATCTGCTGAAATTAACATCAACAAGAAGAATTTAGTCACAAGGGGTCATAAAAATACATTTAAAACACATCTTGATTTTAGAAAATGTCTCCAATATTTTTTAGTCTTCACTTCAAAGGTTTGTCTGCAGGGCTTATATCCATAAAAAGAGTAATGAAATTAATCAGTATTAAACCAACCAAACCTGTTGGAAACTAGATTAATCACGAAAACACGAGAACCTCTAGATTTTGTATGCTCTTACAAATTTATATTATCATAGTTAAGATATTTATTTTAGGATGGTCGCAAGCTCGGATACGGAAACATGCAGGGGATACCTATGATTGCTAGTTCTCCAGGTGAGCAAAAAAACGTGTTACAAAACCTGTGAAGATATGGTTTAGATGGAAAATAAATGGATAGGATGAAATGGTACAGTGCAGTTTAGGAGTTCTTAAACTTTACACAACTTTACAATGAAGATTGATGATTTCTGCTCAATCTAAAATAGATAAACAGAAAGGATTACTTAATGGTTTTTTTTCTTAATCATAAATGTTATATGTTTAGTGCGACATGAAAGTTCTCCTCTGATGAATCCTGTGGATATTCATGGATACCAACCTCCTTGGAAAGCTCTCTCTGAGTTCGCAATGCAACCTGACATAGAACGGTTGGATCCAGGACATCCGAACTTTCATCACATCATGCAGCAGGTAATTATTTTTTATTTGAACCTTTCATAATTATGAAAATAAATTAGAGAAGTGGGAAGGATGAAGATGCAGACTAAAATTTCATTTCATCCGCAAGATTAGTTTCTAAGTAGGTTAGATATTCCCAAAGATACAGATTTCGCTAAATAATCTTCAAGGTCTTATCTCTTAGTTAAGAAACCATGCATGAAAATGGACAGACACGTGTGAAGAAATGGGGAGGGTGAAGGTGGGCGGCTGAAGGGGAGGAGTGGGGGGGTATGTGAGTATTGTAGAGGGGGAGAAGTATACTATCTCAATAATATCAGAGGGTTCCGCCAGGTCATTAAGCAAAGGTTAGGTTGGTATCTCTGGTCGGCGCCAGGCCTAAATCCTTGCATCTCTCCGCATGTCTCTATGTCGCACTCCTGACCAGGCAAATTCTCCTTATCTCTCTCTGTCTTGATTTCTCTGTCTCGACAATGGAATTTTGCGTCTTCGCTTAAATACATATACAATATACATTTATAGATTTGATGCATAAACAATGTACATTGTACATGCTACATACATATGAAAAGTAAAGAAAACGGAAAAAACAAACATTGATCCGTCTAAAAGTGTGACGGCGCTGTAAGAACATGGCCCATAAATGATAATAATGTGAAATATAAAGCTTGAGTTCTAGAATTGGTTAATTTTTTTGATTCTTCTTATTTGTTGGGTTTAACTCATTCTTTTTGTTAAATAAATTCTTAAGGAACCAGTTAATGATGCTTATATCGGTATACAGCAGGGTTCTTTATCTATACTCAGAGTGGGTTTATTTTATCTCCAGATCTTTCTTTTTCTTATCTTAGCTTTTCACGCAACAGTTTTTATTAAAACCCGAGAGGACCTGATAAAAGAGTTTTTTTGTTTGTTTATATATTACATAAGGTCTCTTTTTTATAATCTGTTTTTCTTGTGTTTTTTTCAGCACTTTTTTATTTGTAAAAATGTTGTATACATTTTTTAACTGGTTCTCTTAAAATCAAGGAATATTTAACCACACATTAAACTATCTGCTCTCATCACTTCAAAAAAAAAATCAGCCCAAACAAATGCAGTGGTAGGCGATTAAAGCAATATAATGAAGACGACTTTTTAGTTTTAAAAGTTTTAACTGTTAACAAGTTTTTTCGAATTACAAGTTTACAACCAATTAAAGAGAAGCTTTTTTACCTGACAGCTTTTCTTTGTTTCCTAGTTTTTTTTGCATCCATGTTGTTTAAAAGCTTTATATAAATCAAAATTAAAATCGAAAGTCGTCTTTATTATATTGATAAAATCGCCTGCCACCGTATGTGTGTCTGAAGTGCAAACTTACATCTCTCTAGACTTTATTAGTCTACAAACTAAAACAAGACTGTTGTATTTTATTATATATTCGGTTTTATTGCAGATGCATGGATATCCTGGAGATCTTCTACCACCAGGGTGTCGTCTTCCTCCTCCTCCTGGCCCTCTTCATGGTCCACACGAAATATTGTACAGATCTCCTCCTGATATGGTCCTGCATCCCCCTACTGATATGGATCCGTCCTGTTCTCCTGATGACTGGTCCCAGGATCCTCCTCCTGGGACGGATCTGTATCCTCGTCCCGATACGGAACCCGAGTTCGGATACCTAGACACCAGTGATGATAGCGGTAGACATACTGGACCTGATCCTTCTTCGCCATAAACCAGTGATACAGTCCTGTCCTAATCTCGTCCTGGATACCCTATACAAACTATGGATAGTCTCAGATAAACATGGATAATCTTATTTAAATCAGATATCCAACCAATACATAAACTGATCCAGGTTTTTTAATCTTGTTCGGTTTCTCCTAAAATTTATTGAATATCCTAATCATATCTTGGGTATCCTAACCACTTGTTCATCCATACTCGTCCAGTGATTTCCTAATCATGCTCCCGGGACCTGACTCCGGGTACTGTTCGTAAATATTTATATATGTTTTCGTTTTCAATGGAAATCTTATTCCTTGTTACCCTAGCTTATGCTTCAAGTCTTACCTTGAGCCTGGTGTTAAGACTTCCAGCTGAAGTAAAGCTGAGAGTTTATACTTTAAGCAAGAAATCCCAAAATTGAGCCCGGCTTAGTAGTATGACTTAATTAGAAAACCTAGGGTTTCAGATCGAATAAGAAATGTGTGATAAATTAGTTCTAAATATATTTAAAGGACTTTGTTGCGGTGATTTTAGTGATGCGATGAAAATTGGCTTTAATACCCTTCTTTCTTCAGTAAAACTTCGTATGGTATAAATAGGTTAACCTTAAATTGTAATTGAAGGGAAAACAAATTCAGTTTATTCTTAGATTATAAATGGAAAGCTTTACTATTTAATTTAACTATCTCTGGGATAAACTTGCATTGTTGGTTTCTCCTAAAGTTCTGAGGTGTTCACTATTTATAAAAATAACATTGGAAGTACCATTTATCATCTAAACATAAACAGGAGCAAGCTAAGAATCTCATCTCTCTTTTCACCAAAGTCTAAATGCGCACACAGAGTATCTTCAAAACTTTCTGAGTCGTTGTCTATAAACATAAACTTTACATATTCATTATTTAAATGACAAACTTCAAGGAATCCAAAATAAGCATATAGATACATAATTACATATTTATATATAAGTAATTATTTATAAATAGTAACTTAGTAAACCATCAAACTTATTACATAAAAAGAATATGAGAAGAACCGGTGGCTGATTTGATCTACTATGGTAGGTTACATTTACTCCATCAGGTTTAAAACTCTAGTCCAGCTAATAAATAATGAATTGTCTGTATCTTTGGACGTAGATAATTTCTGTAATGAACAATCTTTTCTAACAAGTAACAATCCTTGGAATCTTGTAGTTTGTGTATCTGTATTTTAAAGGACGTTTTATGTTTCTAATTCTAAATTATCTGGAATTGTTTCATCGAGTCTGCTTTCTAGAATCGATATTGTACTGCTGTAAACGTAGTCTTGAATTAATATAAATCCTGAAAATTATAAAAATCTAGAATCTTAAATTTCTAGATAACAAACATTATTAATTCCACAATTCTTGATTTAAGGATTACATATTTAAGATCTAGAAGAACAAATAGTGTGTCTGGAATAAACTAAGAAAATAACTATTGGTGTGATGTAATAAAGAAAAAAGGATATATAAATACAAAATAAAAGTTAAAGTGTTTAATTTTTTGTAGAATTATGAGTGATGTACAATCTGTGGAAGTAGAGGTTAGAGATAGTCCTAATCAGAAAGACCCTGAATTAATTTACAATTAATCGAACGACTTTAAACTCTAATTTTACAAATATGATTGATGAAACGATAATCACAAAATAGCTCTAGTCTTGCCATTTCCAAAATGTGGTCTGCCTTTTTTGAGCATGTAAAATTGACAGAGATGTATACGTAAAGTCGCCTGATAAACTGTCAATTAATTCCGGGTCTTTCTGCTTATGACTGTACTATACAGATAATTAATCAAAATAATAAATCTGAAGAGATTTTGAATCTACGAAAGATTTAGTTTGGAAGAGTTTGAAAAGTTGTTTAAAAAATTATAAAAATACTTAAGATTTTTAAGAAAATATGGAAGGTTGCATACTAAAGAGAATTTAGAATGTTTGGGAGCTTGCATATTGAGATTTATAGTATAGAAGATTGTATACTGAAAGTATTTCAGAAAAATGGAAGGTTGTATACTGAAAATATTTTAGAGTAATGGAAGGTTTTAAATTTATATATTATAATATTATATATTTAAATATTACAATGATGATATGTTTATTACAGATACTTTAGAAATATGAAAGATTGTTTATCAAACATGTTTAAGAAATATGGAAGGTTGTGTACTGAAGATATGTTAGAAATGTGGAATGCTGTTTATTGAAGATATTTTAGAAATATGGAAGGTTTTGAACTAAAGATATTTTAGAAATATAGAAGGTTGTTTACTGAAGATATTATAGAGAAAGTTAGAAGTAGATAGGTTTACTCGCAAATTTGAGAAGTTTGGAAGGAAGAGAGAAAGAGGAGGGAGATGAACCGGGATGATAGTATGTAATAAATAATTCGGGCAGTCATGTGTAGCGGATCCTACTCTATTAATTGAATAAAGGTGGACCCTCACTCTCCAATATTCCTCCCCTCCCCCTTCCTTCTTCTTCATACCATTCCTCTTCCCCTTACTTCCTTTTCAATTCATACCATTTATCTTCCCCTCCCTTCCTTTTCAATTCATACCATTTCTCTTCCCCTTCCTTCCTTTTCAATTCATACCATTTCTCTTCCCCTTCCTTCCTTTTCAATTCATACCATTTCTCTTCCCCTTCCTTCCTTTTCAATTAATACCATTTCTCTTTCCCTTCCTTCCTTTTCAATTCATACCATTCCTCTTCCCCTTCCTTCCTTTTCAATTCATACCATTCCTCTTCCCCTTCCTTCCTTTCCAATTCATACCATTTCTCTTCCCCTCCCTTCCTTTTCAATTCATACCATTCCTCTTCCCCTTCCTTTCTTTTCAATTCCTACCATTCCTCTTCCCCTTCCTTCCTTTTCAATTCATACCATTCCTCTTCCCCTTCCTTCCTTTTAAGTTTATAGTATTCCACTTCCCCTTCCGTCCTTATCAATTAATAGTATTTCTCTTTCCCTTCCTTCCTTTTAAATTTTTACCATTCCTCTTCTCCTCCTTTCCTTTTCAATTCTTCCCCTTCCTTCCTTCCTTTTAAATTCATGTTATTTCACTTTCCTGTCCTTCTTTTTCAAATCATACATTTACTCTTCCCCTTCGTTCTTTTTCAATTCATGCCATTCCTCTTCCCCTCTTTTTTTCAATTAACACCCGGACCCTTTACTTACCATTAAATTCATATTAGTCTCCACAAACTTTACTTTTAAAAGATTAGACGGACCTAGGCAAGATTTAGCTTGAAGATAATGTATATAAAGATCATATTTAAAGTAAGATTGTTTAGATTATCTGTGCTAATAAAGATTAAAATAATTTTATATTTGCTCAGCTGAGTGGATTACAATATTCCCTGTAGTTTAGATTTGTTGAAAGAAATTTCAAATCTTAAATTCCAAAAGGTTTGAATAATGCATCCACCTAAAAAGGTTTTTCTTGTCAGCCACGGGATGTTAAATCTCCTCAAGTTCATCCCCGGAGAGAAAAGTTGAAATTTTTACTCCGCACCTAACCCAGCAATTCTAATCCCCAGATTTAAACTTTTCCGAACTCTGTAAATGTTTGCTTTAACGCTTTTAAGGAACATACATAATAAATTTTCAGTCAGATACTACACTAGTGTCCTAAATTTGGTCTTACAATCTAATATGATCAGTTACGAATAAAATGAATGTCCGAAATAAAACTAGGCCGAGAAAACGATTTTGCGTGTTCCATGTACATAGAAAAACTGTACATATATTGCGTGTTCCATGTACATAGAAAAACTGTACATATATTGGATCTCCGTGTTCCATGTACATAGAAAAACTGTACATATATTGGATCTGAGCAATTGAGTTTTCCAATAAACTCAAATTTTCTAATTCCTATATCTTTGCAACCTGATGGCGTAAACCTTTGATATTTCAAACTATAGACTATGTATATGATCTAACAGAATTAATAGTTTGAATTAGCAAGGGTCTACGACATCTGGTTACAAAGATATAGGAATGAGAAAATCTTAGTTTGTGGCAAAAACTCAGTTTCTTTGGAGTATAGAATCCTTGAAAAATTGCAAGTGCGAAAATGTGTATATCAAATATTTAGTCAGAACTAAGATACTGGAAAACAGTAAATACTTCAGTGCAATAGAACGGATGTATACTGTTAAGTCCAGAATGAGAACGGATGAAGCGTCTGGTCGGAGTCAAAACAAAGTTTGACCAGCACGTGCCCGCACTAAACCAAATTCTAAACAGTCCAGCGCTGAACTAGATAAGGATGTTATACATTTATCTATCTATTCAATACTCTGTACATAGATCCATATATCCGATCATGATATCTGTTAAACCTCAACAAATGTGAGTAAAATTCAATCAAATATTCAGTGCATATTAAAGAACTTTAAAATCAGAGGATAATCTGTAATGCTATTCTGTTCTACCCCAGAAACCGGAAGTGAGGTTCTCTCAGTTCGGTGAAGAGACGTTCGTGCAAACAACAAAACTTCCGGAGCATTCGTGGTTCGAGTCTTGTCACGTGTCTAAAGGAAAAAAATACACATAATGGTTTACCGGGTCAACAACCAAGGATGGAAGATAACTGAGTTATTTTCAAATTCTTTTTAAAATAATCAGTGATCCATGTACAGATATTTCCGTTCATTCATCCATACACCATTTTTCAACTAAAATCCAAATTTTCCTTTCTCCAAAATCATTGAAAATATAAACCGAGAATATGACACTCAACAACAAGTTTCATTTTTCGAGAAGAAATATTAAAATTAACTTTAAATCGGTGGTTCAAATTTGAACCGGCTGTTGGTAGTTTAGCGACGTAGCTCAAATTCATTAAATTCAGTTCCAGGTCAATTAAAGGTTATGTAGAAGAATACCATGTAAAAAAGAAGTATGCAGACCAGAAAAAATACTAGGTTTATGAAAATGACGTATTCCTAGTAAAAAAATGATAAAATCGTAACGTATATTTTTATATTTCGTAGGAACAAAAAATACTAAATATATCTACAGGGTGTTTCTCTACAAATGATATTTTTTTAACGCCCGAATTTCAGTGATAACGACATGCAATGTATGCGTGTCTGCAATATATTTTTAGTTAGATTACATTGGGACATTTACGTTTTATGCACAATTTCCAATCTCCTATCAGAAAGGGTGTAAATCTCATTTAGAGCGCGCCAGAGCATACACATCTCTCAAAATGAACCCTTTTTGAGTTGGTCTTATTAGGATGGAGTGTTACAAAACCTATTTAGGCTTTAAATATAATTGTGCCTAAAACGCAAATGACCCAATCTAACTAAACTAAAAATATTTTGCTTATGCGCATCTTTTGTCGCTATATCTGAAATTCGAGCAAATCAAAAAATATAATTTTTGAAGAAACACCCTGTACGTACAAGAATGTACATATTAAATTATATATAAAAGTTTATAACATTCATATCGTATTTTAGCTTAGGAAACATCTGTATATAGAAGATACGCCCATGGATAATCAAATTTAGATGATTTAGATCTTGTCACTCTATATAATTTGATAAACAACAAAATTGTATCAATATCAACCATTCCATCAGAACCAACAGTAATATATACTTAACGGGGAAATTTAATCTTTACTTCAGTTTTTAGCTTTTATAATATTTTTTTTTTAATTGTTAAATTACAAGGTATTTTTCAGAGAAGTCCTAAAAAGACAAAAGTTATATATATACATATACTCTATCTGATATTGGTTCAGATTATTACAATCAAGAAATGTTATACTCCTAGTTGAAATATTCTAGACACCAATTGATCGTACTTTACCAAGATGGGATACATTAACTCTAAAAGCTTTGGTCACAATTCCCGACCATTTCAAATATGGCGGCGAAGAGTATTTGTTCACGTCATTTCCGCATAGGCACGTGTCAGTCGCGTGTCACAATCATAACAATTGTACTGCAATTTTACTGCTCTACGTACATTCTTTAGAAATATTCATTCGCTAATAATTTGTTATGGTATGCTAATATTGTAATTTATTATCATCTCTGACTATAACTTTGTATATTCAAAAAAGTTATTATTTACTTTAAACAAATTTTTCAAAATTAAAGCAAACAAAAAAATGTATCATGTATTTTTAGAAAATCTATTAAAGATGCTTTATATCGAATAAGTTATATCCAAAAAAACGATCTCGTTGAAAATTTGCGTAGTTTTCTTCTTTTTTTTAATATTTAAGTGTCCAACAAATCCAAATGTTATGTTCGTTTTTTGAAATTATTTTTATCTATTTTATCATTAAATGTGTTAGTTTGGTCAAACTGGTACAGGAGGGGTTTACATTTACTCTAATAGCAACCAATATATCGGAATAATGATACGGGAATTAATTGAACGTGAGTGTAGATATTTGTCGAGACATGATATGTATAAATGGAGGACGGGGGAGGTCGGAGATTGGAAAGAGAACTAGTTCAG